TCTGAAAATATCAGCGTTACCGTCCCTTGAGTTGGATGACCAAGATCTAAGAAGCCGTTCAAGACATTTCCTTCTTTTTTTGCTTACGAATTGTCTGTATTGACTGTGACTTACCCTATTTGATCCGGACCCATTCTGCAAGTGATGTGAATAATTATTATTCTCCTTAATTCTGCTGGCGAGCAGTAGCACAAATCCATTTCTTGCAATATAATAGCACTTAGGCACATTTTTCCATCTCTCAGTTCTGAGAACTGGCATCGCTACCAGAGTATTTGCAATTACTCATTGCTTTAGCAGCATGGGAGCGGGTAGAGCGGAGGTACAGCCGGTCTGGTTGCTACCTATAGAAACACGCTTCCTCTGTGTGTTTTCATCATTGCTCTGATGGGTGTTTCACCTTTGTAAACTCCACGGCAGTCCGCTTTGCGCTGCTCGGCGTGCCAAACCCGCACCGTCCCGCTGATGGTGTAGAGGAAAAGACGGATGCTCTGCGATAGTTACTCTCAGTACACATTTGCACAGGGGGAATAAAAGGGACGCGAGTCCGAGGGAATTAATTTAAAATAACGGTTAAGGTGCTGTAGCAATATTCTGCGTAATTCCCTTGGATCTGGCATGGCTTAGGTGTTGTTTTGTGCTATCTCTGACGCCGTTCATCCCTGCTCCTGAGAGCACAGAAACGAAAAATGGGAAAAAATCTGACTTCCTAACGGTATTAATATTAATATTGCTAATATTAATATTACCATTAATATTAATCAAGTAATTAATATTTTCCAAGTCCTGTGACTTGGAGGATTATTCTGGGGGATATTTGCAATGATATTGCAAAATTAAAAGCTTTCCTAACAAAATGTTGATTGAGGGTTATTTCGAAGATGAGGAGCAGAAAACTACTTTTTATCCAAATTAGTGAAAATCTTCTGCCTCTTATTGCTGGCACTCATACTGTCACGTGCAACCACCCACCGTGGTGTATCTCAACCACCAAGTACACTTTGACAACTGATTATTTACGACTCTTGCAGGAAACAAGTAGCCCTTTTATTTCCATCCCCCTCCCAAATCGGCGTTGGCAGAAGAGATCTCTGCAAGCTTTGGGGCTGTTGGGTGATGGAGCTGCCCGCGCTGGAGCATCGGTGCCGAGCAGGGTGGCGTGGAAGGATCTTTGCAAGTGGCTCTGCTCACCCTGGTCTTCTGATTTGGGATCAGAAGGGGACTTTTCTTGAAGTCAGACTAATGGAAATCAGTGGTTTGCCTTTCCCAGCAGCACCCAACGCTCGCAGCGTCTGCAAGTCCTTCTCCATCCCCCTTTAGCGACCGTGGCCTTTTAGAGCATCCATAAGGTCTTTTTGTGCTACAGCTGCTAACGAGATGGTTTAATCCTTCGCAAGCCTGGAAGGGAGAGGCTAACTCAGGCGTCCTTGGCAGGCTCGCTAAAAAGTCTTGCCTGCCTTCCCCAGGGGGAAGAGAGCAAAGCTGCACAAATATTTATGACTTTACCTGTTCAAGGGGTGATGCCGTGCTCCAGGCTCAAGCTCCACATCTGAGACAGCCATGGCGATGTATCAGCAAGACAGATCCCTTCCTGGTGGGGCAGTGTGGATGAGAAGTGCCCTGCCTTCTCCTGCTCTGTGCCTATAGAGTTGGTATGATGGATAAAGCGGCCATTTCAGTAAGCAGAAAACCCTGGTCCTTGGCTGGAGAGACGCTAATGCCTAGGAGGTGTGCCGCCTCCTGATGTGCCTCCTGAAGGGGTCGTCCAATGCTTGCACCATAGAATCACAGAATGGTTTGGGTTGGAAGGGACCTCTAATAGGCCATCTACTCCAACCCCCCTGCCGTGGGCAGGGACAGCTTCAACTAGATCAGGTTGCTCAGAGCCCCGTCCAACCTGACCTGGAATGTTTCCAGGGATGGGGCATCCGCCACCTCTCTG